CAGCCCCTCCCCGCTGCACAGGGTGGCACCCTCCTCTCCGTACAAACATGGTGCCTCCCGTTTGGTATATATGTACATAAATGTGAAATACATACATTCAATTTTTAAAAGAAACATATTTGCGCAGCCCCTCTCACTCTCCACACCCTCCTCTCCACGGTGTGCGCCCTCCGTGGCACCCTCCTCTCCACGGCGTGCAAATTGCACTGCCAGTGGCGGGCTTTATAGCCCTGCCACAATGAGAATGTTGGGCGCCCTGCTGAGTTGAATCTTTGGCGGGCCGCCTGTCGAAGCAGCGCGTATCACTGAGCAAGCGAGTCAGTAAGTGGTGCCAGCCTACATTGATTGTGAACATTTGTAGCGAGGTATCGAACAACACAAACAAGAGAAAATTGCCTGTCAATCTAAAGATCATTTTGGATGCTTTGACTGGATTTGGAATAATAAGGCCGGCCACCATTTTTCAGCGCCTAATGGGGATCACTGTGCACAACCCTTCAGGTGTGGCACGGTGAATGCAACAACATGCGATGCGAGAAGCCTCAACCCATACCTGGTTCTCCATGGGCCGACATGAAGAGCTTTTCACATCCACATCATCCCAAACAGACACCAGGCTGAACATGGTGGCCTCAAACTTCACGAAGCACTTGACCTGGCAAATCCTGCCTAATGAAGTACCGTCCATGATCTCCACCACGTCTCCAACAGCAACAGACCGCTTTCCAAGACCAAAGGTTACAGATCTTCCCACGGTCAACCCTGGTGCCACCAACAATTGATGGGCCTTGCAAAAGGCTGCATGCAACTCACCTGACGCTTCCTTACCCTTTACGAGGTCCAACTCGCCATGCCCGTTGTACTGTTCCAAATCCATGGTGTGGGACAGAGTCACTTCCTCCAACACCGAGCGCTCCACCCCAGGGACACCAGTCGCAGTCTGATTAGCGTACCGTTTGAGTTCCTTATGCCGCCTTTCTTGCACAAAGCAAGAAGGCAAGAAACCGTGCTTTTCCAGCGACCATGGTAGATGCATGGCAAAATGAGCCTTTGGAGGCAAGAAGTCCTTGCCGTACACCTGAGTAAATTCCATGAAATGCAGGGTGATTGCATTCTGAAGGCTGCATGGAGCAACTCTCCCTGCATTTGCAGCCAACAGTAGAAGATCCATCACTCCACACAAATGCTGAAACACTTTGCGTGCTGCTGCCACTTTCTCAGTGACTCGTCTCGGATCCAAACACCTCAAGAATTCCAGCAGTACCGGGTACAGCGACAAACCCTCAGACGCACTGCTTTTGAACTTGTCCTTGGACAGGTCGACCTTTTTCTCCAAAACTTTGGTGGCATCGACTGCACGCCCTCCTATCCAACTAGGCCACACAAAGGTGCTGACATATTGGTGGACTTCTTCTTGGCGAATACCTGCCCCTGCTAGCGCCCCAAGAAGCAATGTCACCTGGAATCAGCGGGCACCAACTACAAGCTATGCCCTGCTTTGGCGAGCAAAAACCCTGCCGATTCTTGTAATGGCCTATATGTACTGTTTTTGACCTGTTGAGGTTTACAACACAGATTGCTTTAAGCAAAAGCCTTACAAGTGGAACTCCCCGCATCCCCAACACAAACCTAGGAGGCCTTTTGACGATCACTGCAAAGGGACATGTAAATAGCAACGAGTCACTTCCAAGTGGAACAGGCCTGATACCATGTAGCAATGCATCCAGTCATAGCATAAACCTTCTGTGACGCTAAACCCACAAGCCTGAACAGTATCCAACGCCAAAAGACCTCTTGGGCAATAATTTATGCCCAGTCTTTGTTGCAGGCTACTGAATTGTGACTTGTTGAGCACCGCAGATTGGGCCGCCAGATGCCTATGGTTGTCTCGCAGTGTAGCGTCAGAGTGTAGCACAAATTTGCGCACGTCTAGTTCTGTGTGTTCTATCACGCTGTCGGACGACCGAGCCAGGGTGGACGCTTTTGACACCGTGGTTCTGCACAAAATGCACATCAGTGACCCGCTAGCACCCTTTGATGCAAAGCAATCCCGAATGGCGCCTTCATCGGACACGAGAATTGTCGGCACAGCGGACAGGAACCCAGTACCACCACAGTGAAAGTCTAGCTGTAGCCCACTGCGGAAATCCATGCCTGGTTCAACAAATGACAGGAATGCCAGTTTGGCCAGCTGGGCAAATCCGTCAGCAACTTCCTTTCTGACAATGCTCGAACGTAGGCACGTCAAGATGAACCAAGATGGTTCGGCTGACAGCAAGCTGCCGCCAAGTTCCTCAGCACGCGCATGCGCAAGAACCGTGTAGACAGGGGGTTCCAAAAACTATGTTGGTAGATAGTCACTCTCATAAACGTTGGTTGAATGTGCATGCGAGACTCTGCTATTGCCCAGTATATAGCAAACACCTTCCGCCTGTTATCTGCTTTGAGCACGTTGCCAGGCGATATTTCGTCTGCGTACAATATCAGCCGGTAGGGGGATGCAGGAGTCGATGTCTTCTGGGAAAGAAGCTGCTTCAGTGCTGCCGACCAACCGGGACACTTCTGGGCAGTGAAGTGTAGCATTGCCGCAGGGCAAACATATGTCACATTCTTCTGGCCACCAGTTTTCGTTTCTACACTCCACTCTTTCACTACCGAACCAAAAGGCGTCAAATCCCCTATGGCAGCAACCCGTGCTCTCTTGATCGACTGTCTCGAACAAGCTGAAGGCAACTCCTCGGCGTTCCGCAAGTCAGCCAGCACTTGCGAGAGGGCCGACTGGCTGACAAAGGACTTTTTCCCCAAGCGGGACAGGTCCACCATTTGCTAATGACACGGTGGGCGATGCCAAGTACGATATAGTAAATATTTACAATACCAGGACGTTCACTATTGTGTGCGGCCACGAGATAATTCTGTATGTATGTATGTGTATGTATATATATAGATACAAGGAGTTCCCCAATGCAAGTCTAAACTCTGTTTTTCACTGCAAGCTGGAAGCCATGTTGCATTCACAACAGTCACAGTCACAACAACTCGTCTACCAAAGCAGTTCAGCACTACTGACGAGCATGATTGGCATGTGCATTGCAAAATGTCTGACTGCATCAAGAGTCCTGCAGACTTAGAGGCTATGGTTACATACTGTTTAAAACCTCCACGCTCCGAACGCCACACCGAACCACGCCTGAGCGGAGTCCACCAAGCCTTGCTGGAGTGCAAGTCACACTAAACAAAGATGTTTCACTGCATGTTGCGAGCACGTGTGCCCTGCAACTGCGTGAGAAAACAATTGTAAAA